ATGAAAGGCATGCATCACCACATCTGGCCAAGTTTTTAATACCTAAATAGAATCCTTTCTGGTAACAGACTAGCAGAAGGGTATGAGGGACAGGTTTACAGAATCTAATATGCAAGAACTGAATGGACCACTGGGATGAAAACCAGGAAGAGGCTGCTGTGAAGGCTGATGAGAATGGAAGTGGCCTAGCAAGGAAGATGGAGCAGAAACGCAAGCAAGGCGGGCCTCTCACTGCTGGAGAGGAAGAATGGCTTTTGTGAGCACAGGAGGATGAAGCCATGGGGCACCTTGGGCAAGCTGACAGTCTTAGAGACATCTGCTCACAGGCTGGCCTTAGGGAGTATTAGGGAACTTAGATTTGGGGTGGGTTCCCACCAGCCTAATTGGTAAGAAAAGTTCAGTGCTCTACTGTTGTGGCTTATTTCAAGCACCAGAATCATGGTACGTACAAGGCAGAGGATGCCCCCAGGAGAAATCCTGTCATCTTCTCTGGAGACAACAGTGCTCGTGTACTATCACAGCTCCCTGCTGGGGGACTGGGCACATTCTGTCTGACTCCACACACTGAAGAACTAGAAACTCATGCCTGGTTCTATCCAGTGGTTCTGAACCTGTGGGTCACAAACCCTTGGTGGGGGGGTCACCTAAGGCCACTGGACATATCAGCTGTTTACACTATGATTGATAACAGTAGCCAATGACAGTTATGAAGTAACAAAGGAAATAATTTTATGATTGGGGGTCACCACAACATGAGGTGTTAAAGGGTCACAGCATTAGGAAGGCTGAGAACCACTGTTCCAGACTTTGCTCCCTGAAGCCTTTTCCCTTCACAGGTTTTGCTCTGTATCTTTGGCTATAATCAGTCAGAGCTGGGAGTACGATGATGCAAACTTCTGTGAACCTCTTAAGAAAGGGATGGTTCTGAGGGCCCTGAAACATCATTCTTTCCAGAAGTGCACCTCCAGTGACCTCCTGGAATTTCCCCAGTTGGGGCATCCACTTGGTGGGGTTCTTACCTGGATGGCAGGCTCGGCTGCCTCCCCTCTCTGCCACCCAGAGCTCAGCACCTTGCTCCAGCTGGGAGATAACTGCCGGTTTGGGAAGATCAGGACCTGGAAATAGGAAAAGACTCAGGAGCTTGAAGGCTGCTCTAGGACAAACAAACCCAGGCTGCACCTCATGCTCTTGACCATCAGGACATGTGGGCACCTTCTAAGCACGTGAGGGTTTTGCTCGGTGACAGGAAGGGCAGCCTCCTCCCAACAAGTGTGTCCATCAGCATACGAGGATAAGTTAGAGCCCCATACCAGAGGCCCATAAGCATAGCTCGGTCTGAGAAGCGGGCCTTACCCACAGAAAGAAGATGCCCAAAGGTCTCCAGCATCACATCACGATACAGAGTCCTCTGGGTAGGGTCCAGCTGCCCCCACTCCTCTTGGGTAAAGTCCACAGCCACATCTCGGAAAGTCACCGGCTCCTGAAACATCACACATATTCTCCATTAGTCGGACCATCTACCTCTGTGGAAGAGGAAGGATGGGAGAAAACAGGCAGGCAGGGGTCCTGAGAAAATGTACACTCTGCATGATTCTCCTCAGGTCTCACTGGGAGCCTATGGGTCACTATAGGTAGGTACGGGCTACCATGACAATATGAGAACTTTCGGCAGGATCAACAAAAACAATCACAGCAGACCAGACAGACCTGGCTATACCACTGACATGCAAGTTAATGACCTAAAGAAATGGTAACTAGGTTTTTTTTTGTTCTTTGAGTATGTTTATGAGTATTTGAGTGTATGCATGTGTGTGTGTGTGTGTGGAGGCCAGAGGACAGCCTCGGGTGATCAGATCTCCACACATTCTTTTACTGATGACCAGGTCTTGTCAGCATTGTCTGTTATCTGATCATCAGGTCCACATCCCCATCCCACCCCCTATTTTTGGTTTTTTGAGACAATGTTTCTCTGTGTAGCCCTGACTTCCACATTTTCTCGTTTCTTTCTCATTTACTTTTTTTTTTTTTGAGACAGGGTATCTCTGTGGAGATTTGCAGTCTGTCCTGGAACTCACTCTGTAGCCTAGGCTATCCTCAAATCCACAGAGATCATCCACCTGCCTCTGCCTCCCGAGTGCTGGGATTAAAGGTGTGCGCCACCCCTGCCTGGCTTACCCCCCCTTTTTTAACCCACTATTTTAGCTCAGCTCTTAGCATCCTATCCTATGTCTAAGTGGTTCTTTCCAGCCCTGTACCAGTTCTTCTCGACACCTTCCCTCCCTTTCCCATTTTCATGTGTGTGACGCACCTGTGTGTAGGCACACGAGGGAGAGTATGTCTGAACATGCGTATGCATGGAGGCCCAGTGTTGGTGTCCAGAATCATCACCCCTTGTTCTACCACCTTACTCACTGAGCAGGTCTCTCCATCAAATCCAGAGCTTACTGATATTGTGAGTCTCAACAGCCAGCTTACTTTGGGGGTCCCGTCAGTCTTCCGAGACCGGATCACAGCTGGGCCACCACGCCCAACCAGCATCTGTATGGCTTCTGAGGATCTGAACCACAGTCCTCCCCCTTGTGCAGCAAGAACTCTGACCACTGAGCCATCTCCCAGGCCCTCTTAACCCTTAAACCATCTTTTTCCTCCTGAGACAGCATTTTAAGTATCTCAGGTTTGCCTCAGACACGATATATAGCCAAAGGCGACCCTGAACTTCTGATTCTCCTGCTTTTAGCTCCCAAGATTGCAGGTGTGCACCACCACAGCCAGTTTTTTGTTTTGTTTTTTAAAGTGGTGCCAGGGCTTCACACATGCTAGGCAAACACTTCCCCCTGAGCTACATACCAGCCCTGAATAATAAAGGATGACTACTCCCCCAAGGATATCCAGGTCTTCGCTCCTGAAACTTACGAATTTTATGACAGTAACATGTACTTTGCAGACGTGATAAAGACAACAGAACATGTATATGTTATCCACGTGGGCCCTAAATGCAATCACATATTTAGGAGATAGGCATGAGATTCAAGATGTCAGAAGGCAATGTGATCACTTAAGCAACGCTACATTGCTGATTGAAGCTGGACAAAAGGCAAGGAGTGCCAGGGCTACAGCTCTTATAACTGGAAAAGTTAATCAACAGACACCCTCCTCTAGAAACTTGGTAGAAGTGAGGCTCTGCTCCGTGGTGCTCATTTCTAGAATGTGTCTTGTTGTTGTTGTTGTTGTCCAGCCTCGCCTTGAATTTATCATCTTCCTGCCTCAGCCTCTCATGTGGTGCTGGGATTATAAACATGTGCCACCGTGCTCGGCTTAGAATGTACACTGTCTTTAGCCACAGCGTTTGTAGTGCCTTATTATAACAGCCACAGGAAACTAATGTGCCGGACATCAAAGGCCTCCATTTTTGGTCCTTGCTCCTGTGGTGGCTAGCCTCTAAAATGGCCCCTCAGTTATGCCCTGACTTGCAGGTAGCTGTGTTGGCCTGTATGACCGATAGGATACTGTGGAAGTGACAGTGTAAAGTCTGAGCTGAGGTCATAACAGAGCTTCTACCTTGCCATCTCCTGGATCACTGCTCTACAGAAAACCACACGCTACACTGTGAGGCCTAAGTACTTCCACGGTGGAGGAAACACTGAATCCTCCTGCCAACAGCTATGTGAATGAGTCATCTTGAAGGTGGGTCTTCTAGGCCTTGTCAAGTCTCAAGTAATAACTGTTTGGCTGTCATCTGGACTGTAACTTTAAGGGCCTAGGGCAGACCCATGAGCTAAGTCACTCTTGGGTTCCTACCTATCAGACATTGTGAAGTAGTATTTATTTCAGGTCATTACATTTTGTGTGCCATTTGTTACACGGAAAGAGACTAAATACACTTCTTCTAATGTCTTTCATATTGCTTATTCCCTGACAAACTGCCAGCCTAATGGCTGTCACCTGAGACTTGACTGGGGCTGGGGAATCCACCTTCACCACGGCTCATTCATATGGCTGTTGGCAGGCCTCAGTTCTCCACAATGGTCACATTTCATAGAAAACTAAAATAACATGAACCTGATCATCTGCAATCTAAGACTTTCAATAAGCCCATTTTGTACACAAGATGTAAAACAATGCAAATCTCCCCTTAAGCAAACCAATACCCTCCCCCCAAATACGTAATTTCAAAGTTGCAGAACTTACATATGAATTAGTTTTGGCTTTTGTTAGGTGGACTGTGGAGAACAGTAATAAGCAGCCAGTTTGTCTACAAAGTACTGGAACTTCGATGACCAAACGCTTGGCAAACACTGGCAGCCCTACCTACCACGGTTTTCCCACGGCCCCGCAGGGGGTGACCCTTGGAGTTACTCTTATCTTACTAACTTGGTGCCTGTGCCCTCATGAAGTTATTATGCCTTATTTGCAAAATAGGGGCCTTCATGGTACTGACATGCCCCGAAAGTCTGTTGATTCTACTACGCTTTAGGACGTGTCCTGAGGACCGTATCGGCAATGTGGGTGCTTTGTAACGCCAGCCAGCCAGCCAGCCACCTGTCATCACTGAGACACGTCTCTCTGGATGTGTGGGAAGGGGTTGGCCAGAGAGGGGGTGAACCCCCGATCCTGTCCTCTGGGAAATGACCACCCCTCTCCTCCCACACACAGCAGGGAGACAGCAGGTTGGAGCATGCGTACTGAGGACGGGGGTGGGGACTGGGTTCGGACCCGGGCTGGGCGGTTGAGCCACTGCGTTCGCTTCCCCTGTGGAAAAAAGCGCCGGGGGTCACAGGCCATTCCGTGGGGGAAGCGGGGCCCGGAGTCCACTCGGTCATCACTGTTACCTTCAGTTGTGTGGCTTGCGGCCGCCAGGCCATCGCCATTGTTGCCGTTTGGTCCTGCGGGTCCATCTCGGGCGAACAGGTCAGCAACCGACGTCCAAGACGACCCCTAATCTAAAGCGCACCCCCCGTCGTAAGGACCACCCGACCAGCCTCCCGCTGGACAATGGCGGCAGTGCCAGGGACGCCGAGACTACAACTCCCAGAAGGCCACGCGCTGAGACGCAGCACTGGACCAATAGGAGCTACCTCCAGCCCAGGGTTGACCAATGGGGAAGTCCTGGCCTCTGGTCGGAGGGAGTCCTGTTGATTAAGGAGCCTGCCCGAGTACTAGCAGAGCCGAGCTTTTATCCCGTTACTTGCGGGTGCGGGCATCGCTCGGTCCCGGTTACCCTGAAAATCGTCCTCTCACCCTCATGGCTGAGTTTAGGGCACGTATGCATCTGAGCAGTGAGGGGAACGCTCGGCAGCAAGGCCTTGTTGTTAGAATTGGTCAATCCGACTTGCTGCTGGAATTAAATGCACAAGAGACCTGGGGATTTCTTCCTTTTACTCTGTGTACTCCGGTTACACTGACATTTACGTGAAACAAAATTACATGAACATTTAAGAGCTTTCTTAATATAACAGGCTTTGAAGGACTAATGACCGGAAAGGGAAAAACGAGGCTTCCCAGATTTCGTTTCTTCAGGTAAGACAGCCATTTAAAGGTGTAATTGTTACAGCACAGATGAAAAGATACCCTGGAAGTCGGGAGCTAAGGAATACCAGAGAGTCAACAAACTTCACACAGATTTATTGGGAAGGAAAAAACTTCAGAAGGGTGGATGCTTCTGCTCATCGAGAAACTGGGGATAACTGAGCAGAAGGCAGAGTTTTATATAGAGTTTCTTGGGGGTGGGGTGGGGAGTGAGATGGGTGGAGGCGTGGGGGTGGAACTTTTCAGGGTGAAGCTTTCCAGGGTGGGGATTGGTGGGATTTCAAGTCCAGAGCTTGGGCTTTTACTCGGGATGGGGGGGGACTGGGTCCCGCCGTTAGGGTAGTTAGAGTGTTCTCTGGGTGGAACCTGACAGTTGGAAGTCCTCAGGGGGAGTGGCCAGGCCATTCGTGTGCCTCGAGGGGTTTACAAAAGGTACACCCGTAATCCCAGCGTTTAAGAGATGGAAGCAATAGGATCCGTGAGTTCACGCTTTGCAAAACAGCATGTTGAAGGCTGCACTCCGAGGGGTGGGGAGTTGGGAGATGGAAGACGAAAGAAGGAGAAAACATATCACACACACACACACACACACACACACACACACACACACACACACACACTTTTTTTTCCTTCAAACTAAGGACTAGGTACAAGTAGGAAAGAAAAGGACTGGGGTGGCGGTGCACACCTCTAAAAGGCAGGCAGAACTCTGTGAGTTTGAGGCTAACCTGGTCTGCATAGTGAGTTCCAGGCAATTAGAACTACATAGAGAGACCTTATCTAAAAAATAAATAAATAAAATAAAATAAAAAAAGGAACAAAAGAAAAGCAAATGAGTACTTGCTAGTATTCACCAGGCTGATGATGTAGTGGGAAAAGACAGAAAAATAAACTACACCCTTAAAGAGACAGAGAGCAGCAGGTATGGAACAGCAGGCCCTGCCCCTCCTCCACTCCCCCCAGTACTGAATATTGAACCTACATCTTCATGCATGAGAGGCAAGTGATCTATTATGGAGCTACAGTCCCAGAAAACAGCATGTCCTGATGACATCCTTTCAATCTCATCCTGACTTTTCGCTCTCCCTCCCTTCATCCCCGTACTTAACTTTGTTCTGGCATCGTCCCCACCAGTCCCCACACACGTGGGTCCCCACACGCGTGGTTCTGACAGTAACAGTAGTATTACAACTGGTGCTCAGGGTCTGGATTTGCTATTTCCTGGTCCTTGGCCTCTTTTCCAAAGAATTGAAAATAGAAGTTCACAGAAACACAAGAAATAAGATAATTTCATTTGTAGCAAAGTGATATTATAGATTGTGTAGGATACACTATTCAAGATTGACAGTGGGTCATGTGAGCGAAGGTTCTCAGTGTCCAGATTATTGTTCAGGACTTCCTTTTATGGGACTCAAGGGAAGGTGGTGCCGGTTACTAGGGATGTAGTTTGGGTGATTCTCTACTTTGATTGATAGATTAGGTCATCTATTCATTTTCTCTACCATGCATGTCCCTTTATAATGCATATGATTTTATTTATTTATTTATTTATTTATTTATTTATTTATTTATTTATTTGGTTTTTTGAGACAGGGTTTCTCTGTGTAGCTTTGAGCCTTTCCTGGGACTCACTTGGTAGCCCAGGCTGGCCTCGAACTCACAGAGATCTGCCTGGCTCTGCCTCCCGAGTGCTGAGATTAAAGGCGTGCGCCACCACCGCCTGGCATATAATGCATATGATTTTAATCATACATGTGCCCAATTATGCATAGGCATAAGGTGGTAAATAGGAAGTTCTCCCTAAAAGGTTACAGTTTTGCCTTCTTGTGCATGCATCCGAAACTAGTTCAGGCTGGACTGGCTCTTTCATTCTTCATACACAGATACGTTGAGAGTATTCTTGAACTTTAAAACTGTCTAATTTGAACAGTTCCAAGGGCAGGGAAACATGTATCATTGTTAGATGGAAGTATGTGTAGCCTGATGCAGACAGAGATGGGTTCTGAGGTTTCTAGGTGCATTGTTCAGAGAGTGGTGTGTGTGTATAGTATGTACAACTGAAGGACCTAGGCTGCCAAGTGCATTATTACAAGAGGAGTGCGTGTGCAAACCCCAAATCAAATGAGTGTCCCAGGGCACTAAACTGCCTCTCTTGCTTGCCTGCCTCAGTATCAGGCAATGTGGTAATTTGAATGAGAAATTTCCCCGTAGTCTCAGGCATTTGAATACGTGGTCTCCAGTGGGTGGTGCTCTTTGGGGTACAGCCTTGCTGTGGGAAGTATTAGACTTGAGGACTGCGCGGGTGTGTGTGTGTGTGTGTGTGTGTGTGTCTCTGCAACCACTACAGAGAGCAGAGTATCCGAGGGAAGCAAAAAGGTAGTTCAGTTCAACATGACTAAGTAGCTGGTGTTGGATCAAACTTCGGAAGTCTGACCCCCACATAATTTTTTTAGGGATATGCATGCATATGATATTAATCATACATGTGCCCAATTATGCATAGGCATAAGGTAGTAAATAGGAAGTTCTCCCTAAAAGGTTACAGTTTTGCCTTCTTATGCATGCGTCCGAAACTAGTTCAGGCTGGATTGGCTCTTTCATTGGCACAGCACAATTTGGTGAAAACTTTCCTGGTAATAATCCTGATCAGGCAGCTCGAGCTTGATGGAGCCACTGAAGAGAGTAGAGCTGCCACAGTGCCAGTGAATATGGTGATTTTTCTAACTGGGTAACGGTCACTCAAGAGATTGGCAGCCCCTTTCATGCCGCAGCAGCCATTCAAATAACTTTTCAAAAAGGACCTTGCTTTGAATGCAGAAATAAAGGACATTGGAAAAATGAATGTAAAAAATCCAGCAATCCTGTCCCTCACCTTTGCTCATGACATAAAAAGGGAAAACTTTGGGTTAAGGAATGTTGATCCAAATTTGATAAGGATAGTAAGCCTTTAAACTCCTAAGGGGGATACCTAGAAGAAGAATCATCCAGCCCTAGAATCAAGGTGGGGGGAATTGACTCAGACAACAAGAAATGAACCAGGCTTAAAATCAGTTTCTGGTCATTTAGGAGGAACAATAGGATCTAATGCAAATGGAATTAAGTTCATTAGCTTTATGGACAAGACCATTCTCAGCTGTTGGACATAGGATGAGCTTATACACTGAAGACTAGTCCTTTAGAGCAGTGATTCTCAACTGTGGGTTGAATATCAGGTATCCTGCATGTAAAATATTTACATTAGATGCATAATAGTAGCAAAATTGCAGTTATGAAGTAGCAATGAAATAATTTTATGGTTGAAGGTCACCATAACATAAATAACTGTATTAAAGGTTTGCAGCATTAGGAAGGTTGAGAGCCACTGTTATTTTAGACACTGGGGCTGATCATTCAGTTATTTCTCAAGAGCAATGGCCCCACACTGGTCAATGTCTAGTGGCCCACCTTTACAAGGTATTGGAGGCCAATAGGATTCTTTAAAAAGTACCAATGTCTTAATTTGGACTGATAAAGATTCTTCTGGCACTGTGCAGCCTTACATTGTCTGGGAACTTTTATAAAATCTGTGAGGAAGAGATATATTACAACAAATGCAAGCAGTAATTACTATTGCTACTAATAAATCATCTGATCATTATAATTCAAGAAAGTGTAGCTCCTCTAACTGGGGTCATTGATCAAGGGCCATTCATACAGCCTTTATAACTTCAGTGGATCTCTGATGACCTAGTATGGATTGATCAATGTCCCCTTCATGACAAAAATTTAAAACTGGCCCGACTTCAAGTAAAGGAATAGTTGCAACTAGGACATATAGAACCTTCAGTTAATCCTTGGACTCAACTATTTTTGTAATTCATAAAAGGGCAAAGAATAATTTTTTTTTGAGACAGGGTTTCTCCGATTAGCCCTGGATGTCTTGGAACTCACTCTGTAGACCAAACTGGTCTCAAACGAAGAGAGCCTGCTTCTGCCTCCTGGAATGCTGGGATTAAAGGCATGCACCACCATTGTATGGTTCAAAGAATAAAATTTGACTGTTATATGATCTTAGGGGCATAAATATGACTATGAAAACAATGGTGGCCCTACAGCCAGGGCCTGCTATGATTCCTCAAGAACATTACATTATTATGATTGACTTAAAAGACTGCTTTTTCTCTATTCCTTTACATCCTGATGATAAGGAACATTTTGCATTCTCTGTTCCTACTTTAAACAATCAACACCCATTGACCCAATATCAGTGGAAATTTTTACCATAAGGGATGAACATTAGCCCCACTAATGGTTAATATTATATACACAAATCACTTAAGCCAATGCTGATTCAATTTCGGGAAGTATTGGCCATTATATGGCGGACATTCTCCACTTCCCACTCACCTAATCAATACTTAAACAAGTGCTTGATTTTTATGGTAAATAGAGCAAAATTTAAACATAGCTCTATATAAAATTCAAAAACAATCACTTTATAATTAATTAGTGTACATTCAAACAACAAATTTGCCATCATGCTCTCAGCTTAAAACTTCCCAAACAATGTACTTCAGCTACTTAGAAAAAACTTTGGGCCATGTTAATTGGGTACATTTTTATCTGCCTACTACTACTAAAGTCTTGATTCTGCTCTCTCACTTGCTTTCTGGAGACTTGGTTAAACTCTATAAAAAACATAACACTTGAAGCAGAGCAAGTTATTAGTTTATTAAGTAAAGCTTCTGCTAAAGTTGTAGCTCATAGAATTAATCCCTTACTTCCTCGTCAATTATTTATCCTTCCTACTTAACACCTACAGGAGTTACATATCAACAAAGTATGGTATTATAGAAATTTATGCATGTTATAATTCTCTGCATTGATCCATAACTCCTTATTTACAAGAAATTATACACTTGGTAATGATGGGAAGAGCATGTCTTAAACAAATTACTGGTTAAAGAGCCTACAGAAATGATTGTACCATTAAATAAAATGCAGGTTGGTTA